AGGCCACAGATCAGTTTTTGAAGGTCACTACGTTCATACCTCGTAGGGTTCGCCTATCATGTCGCGATGCGAAGAACAAAGTAGATTGCAGTGTGTTCGCGATGCGACACATGGAGTCTTATGCTGGACAGCCCTATGCGTCATGGGATTGTGGTCTTTGCGGGGGTGACGCACGTGCATTGCTTGCTTTACGCAAACGCTATATGTCCGACATCCTGCTGTTTCAGAACAACACCCATCGTCGAACGAATTTCAACTCCGCCATGAGATCAATTGTTCCGTCTCGTTGAACACCTCTATTATATACATTGCGTTTATTATTACATCCTGCTTTACACAAACGCTATATGATTTGCGTGGGTTTTGTGCTTAATGTGCGTGAGGTTGTGCTTAATGTGTGTTGGTTTTGTACTTAAAGTGCGTGAGTTTGTGATTAAGATCTAACACTTAAGGTGCACCTTAGCTTATACTTCTTTGTTCCAGGCACGCGTTTTTTTTTTTTAATTTTCATTGATTTGAGCCGTTGATCTAAATTTGATCAACTGCTCAGATTTAACCGCACAACCGCACGGGAAACTATACCCGCACCTGAACCCTTCCCTATATATATATATATATATATATATATATATATATATATATATATATATATATATATATATATATATATATAGGCTTTGGATCTGGTGCACCCCCTCTAATAAATAAGCCCATGAGGCCTAATAATACCCATTGATTAGATTCCCATCTATGGTTGAAATTAAAAGAAATATTTTTAGTTATTATTTATGGTAAGGTTAGATTAGTAATTTGGTTAGCTGATTTAATTAACGAATTAATTTAAAAGGAATATGAATCATCTTTTGATGCTTTTGATGATGGAAATTAAAAGATTTAATCTTGAAAAAGATTAGAAGAATGAAATACCGTTAACAATGGTAGATGTGTGAAGGCAGGAACAACACTTTCGGATTTGCAGCAAATGGATAATAGCAGTACCGGTAAGTGCATATACACGCCTAAGTCTGTGCATTTCCATGATTTCTCGAAATGGTTTACGGCTGAACCAGGGTAGTCGATGGCCGACGATATTTGTGAGCGTTAAGGACGACCTGCCTGTGTGTACGCCGTTAGAACCTAGTAGGCAAGTTAGGCTGAGGTTGTGGGTTGTTCGATACCCGACTATCCAACGGCCTAAGCGCAAAGATACGTTGGCCAGTGCATGCGCCGTACTGCCTAATAGACAGAATAGCCTGTGTCCGAGGTGTTTTTTTTTTTATTTTTTTGGTTTCCACCAGTCCGTGCTTAATTAAACACTGTTATGTCTGTGCATATACACGCCTAAGTCTGTGCATTTCCATGATTTCTCGAAACGGTATACGACTGAACCAGGGTAGTCGATGGCCGACGATATTTGTGAGCGTTAAGGACGACCTGCCTGTGCGTACGCCGTTAGAACCTAGTAGGCAAGTTAGGCTGAAGTTGTGGGTTGTTCGATACCCGACTATCCAACGGCCTAAGCGTAAAGATACGTTGGCCAGTGCATGCGCCGTACTGCCTAATCGACAAAATAGCCTGTGTCCGAGGTGTTTTTTTTTTTTATTTTTTTGGTTTCCACCAGTCCGTGCTTAAACACTGTTATGTCTGTGCATACCTGCTATTGTCGAATGGTTATTACCAGAACGCCGGGGTGGGGTGTCCGATAGTTTAATTGAGGAACATGTGTGTGCATAATGCATTCGTATCTATGATGTGGGGATGGATTTGAGTGCGTCGGTTTTTTAATTACCTTACTTTTGAGTGGCAGGTGCGCCAACTATGGGGGGCGATGTCGACGAAGAACATTGTTATATGAATATATCCCCGAGTGGAACGAAGATTTGGTTGACGGCTTGCGACACATCCATAAAACCATTTGTTGGGCAATTGTTTGCAACATTAGACGAAGGTGTTGAGTTCTATAACAATTACGCCTCTGTCGCAGGCTTTGATGTGCGCCGCAGTTCAGACAAAAAGAACAATTACAACATTATCTTAAGGAAGAAACTGGTTTGTTCACGTGAAGGTTTCAAAGCGGGGAAAAAATCGGATCCACCAGAAACGGTAATTGGAAAAAAGACCAAACGTCGTAGGCCATCTAACCGAGTCGGGTGCATGGCAAAGATTGTGTTCAAAATAGACGGTGCGGGGAGGTATTTAGTCACGACATTCGAAGAGGGGCACGCGCACTGTTTGTGCGATGATAGCTATAAACCGTTCTTGAAAGTAAATAGGAAATTGGATGTTGGTCGCCAACAGTTCATAACAAATTGCGCAAAAGTGAATGTGGGCTCGAGCAAAAGCTTTGAAATATACGCATAGGTTGTGGGTGGAACAGAAAACGTTGGAGCAACACAACAAGATTTCAAAAATTCCCGACGGGAAGTTTTGGCATACATGCACGGAGGAGACTGCCAAATGGTAATATCCAAATACCTGGATATCAAGGCTGACTACCCTGACATGTACTTCGAGTACGATGCAAACCATAACGACCAATTGATACGGATTTTTTGGTCGGATGGTGTGGCGCGGAAACATTACAGTGCGTTTGGAGATGTTGTGTCCTTCGATGCGACGTACAAGACTAACCGGTAAGAAATTCTGAACCTTGTATAACTTTTTCTATATGTGGACACCATAAATATGCGAATTAATGTTACTATGTGTGTGTATATATTTGACCCGCGTATGAAGAAATATTTAGATATTTAATAGCACAGATGATAGCGTACTAAGCACAGAGTGTGTGCGTTTTCGCTGATACCCATTGATATCAGAAATTAATCCAGAAAGCTATATTTTCTTCATGTGCGCCACTGTAAAAATGTGTGTATGTGTGTAGTGTCCGATAGTATAATTATCCGATAGTATAATTAAATGTTCATCAGTGGTGGGTGCATAATGTTGTACAAGTTTGTGCATTCTCCCTAACATGTTTTACAAATACCATGATACTGAGTCACACTAAATTTATTATTGAAATAAACTAACACCGTGATGTCCCAGGTACGGCCTCGTGTTTGTCCCATTTACCGGGATCGACAACCATAAGAAATGCGTGACATTTGGAGCAGCCCTGATTGACCGGGAGGACGTGGACTCGTACATTTGGGTGTTAAAGAACTTCAAAAACGCAATGGGCAGCCCCCCCGCAATCACTGTAACTGATCAAGATCCGGCGATGAAAGTTGCAATTGCACAGGAATTCCCTGAAACGCGTCATCGGTACTGCATGTGGCATATAATGACAAAGGTGGGTGATAAAGTGGGCACTGACTTAGCGAGGAACGAAGAGTTTAGACCGGAGCTAAATACTGTAGTATGGAACGACGCCTCAACGACTGCAAATTTCGAGCATGCATGGAAAGCTGTAATGGAAAAATATGCCATAACTGAAAATTCGTGGCTGAAACATATGTATGATGAGCGTGCGTCATGGGTTCCTGCATGTTTTGAAGGATTTTTTATGGGCGGATTACTACGTACTACATCCCGGTCCGAGGCTGAGAATAGGATTTTCAGAAGCAATACTAACAAGCACCTTTGCCTTACAGAATTCTTCATCCGATTTGAGAGTACAGTGCGAAAGCAACGGATCACGCACGCACATCTTAGTGGTGCCAGCAACGCACAGACCCCCCCTTTCAAAACACCACTGGGAATTGAGCGACATGCATCCGAACTGTACACACTAACAGTTTTTTATGATGTCCAGGAGGAAATTATTGCAAGTTGTTTTGAATGCCGGGTAAGAGCAGTGACAATCGGTGACGGCATCAAGACTTATGAGGTGGATGATAAGCGCGGGACACAGTACGGTTTGACCGTTGAGAATGTGACAATGATTATGCACTGCCCCTGCCGAATGTACACAAGGATTGGTCTATTGTGTCGACACGCTTTTGCAGTGCTAATATACGAGAGGGTTGATAGCATACCGCCGCAACAGATCACCTCGCGATGGACACGCAACGCAATAACAGAATATGAAGATGAACTGAAGAAGTATGGATATGGAGGGGCCATAACGGGTAATGAAGCAGGAGATGTAATAAACACGTTCTACAGGTGTTTGGGGATTGCCAAGGGGGACAGTTTAAAATTGCAACAAATGTGTTATGTTCTATCGGATATGGAGACAACTTGGTGCGGGCACGAAGAAGTCCAAGTGGATGCAGCTAGTGGGAAACAAGCGATCATGGAGTCTTACTGTGGCGTACCCGCACCTGAGACGATTACTGTGCACCAACCACCGGTGACAAGCAACAAAGGGTCGGGTAAACGGATGAGGTCTGCTAAAGAGCTGGCAATGAAGGAGCAAAACAGGAAGAAGCACACGTGCAAAACTTGTGGCATGGCAGCTGGGCATAACAGTAGAAGCTGCCCGCAGAAGTAGAAATGTTATTAGCTATAGCATGCAATTCTGGAAGTTGTTTGTGAGATCGTTTATTCTGAAACTCGTGCACATTTTTTGTATGTTTTTTTCCAGCATTCCCATTTTTTTGAGGAAACTGTTACCAGGGAAGCTTTTATAATATGCATATCTTGTTTGAACAATTCTGTAGGCATTAAGCTTTTTTCCCAGCGTTCCCATTTTATAGTTGGCAGTTCCTTATTTCCCATCTGGATGTACCTGATTAGGACTTAGAAGTTGTGATGTGGTGACTTTTTTTAATGCCTGATTTTTTATGATGTAGTAAAACAAATGTATAACACAAATGTCTGGACTGCCCCGGTACCATATATGCGTTAGTACGCATAGATTGCATGTATAGAATGCGTTGTAGTCGATAGGTACGTGCTTATATGCGTAACGAAAATGTCATGTGCGAAGGAAGTATAAATTGGCTGCGTAATACGGTTATGATTGTTGAGAGCACCGGCAGCCGGCACATCATCCGTACCTGCTGCGCAGGAGGGTCCCACACCGTCAATCACCTGCATGAATTTCCGAGCGCCTAATACAAGCCTATCAAAAGCTTCAGGAGGCCGAGGTAGACCGATATGCTGATCCATGAACTCCATCATGTCCACAAGAGCTAGAGCTAGTGCGTCCGTCTTTTCAGCGTATATCTCTGCCTCAGTCTACAAATTTGTTAAGCAACAACTCAGCAAAACAAAAACTATCTTAAAAATGCACTAACATAACATTGTCTATGCACTTGCTAAGAATGCAATAAAAATATAGTACAAGGCAACTCGCACAGACACTAACATTTAAACGCACAAACGATGGAATAAAAATATAGTAACATATATCTGGTGCATATTATATATCTGGTGCATGGACACTCTGTGCGAATTATGCTACTGCACATACATTCTAGTTGCACAAACTATATAGTAAATGCAAACCAAAGTAACCATTTATCTAACAAATGCACACGCATTGGAGCTGATACGCACGTACCCATTAATATGCACTAACATAAGATTGTCTATGCACTTGCAAATAAATGCAAACCGAATTAACTAACAGGCAAGGCGCATAGATGCTACATCTAAATGCAAACCAAATAAATGCAAACCAAATTAACTAACAGGCAAGGAAACTCGCATAGACACTACCATTTAAACGCACAAACGATGCAATAAAAATATAGTAACATATATCTAATACGCCCCAACATAAGATATAGTAACCATTTATCTAGCAAAAGCACTAACATTGGATCTGAGACGCACCTACCCAATAATATGCACTAACATAAGATTGACTATGCACTTGCTAGTAAATGCAATAAAATTAACTAACAGGCAAGGCGCACAGACGCTACATCTAAACGCATATACTATGAATTAATCTAGAGCATAATTGATCTGGACTGCCGGGTACCGTAATATGAAAATGCACATGCTATGCACTTGCTAAGAATCCAATAAAAATATAGTAAAAGGCAACTCGCACAGACACTAACATTTAAACGCACAAACGATGCAATAAAAATATAGTAACATATATCTGATACGCACTAACATAAGATAAAGTAACCATTTATCTAGCAAATGCACTAACATTGGAGCTGATACGCACCTACCCATTAATATTCACTAACATAAAATTATGCATTTTACTATATACGCATCGTAATATGAAAATGCACATGCTATTTAATATGCTACTGCACATAGCTCGTATACGCACATACTATATAGTAAAATGCAGACACAATATATATGTATGCACATACCATAACCGTACATTGCCAAGAATAAAACCCAACGTGCTTGTTACAGCTAAAAAAAATAGCAACGAAAACCCCTATGTAGTACTATAAAACGAAACTACAAAATATAAATCGAGACACAATAATAGGAGCGGTCCAAAACGAAACTACCTTGGCAGGATCATCCCCCACTGCATTAGGCACCTACAAACATAACATAAACAGTATGAGAAACATACCTCACCCCATACCCTACAAAAAGATAAATAGGGAACATACATACCTCCATAATATATGGACCAACTACCTCACCACGGCCAAATCCACCGCTCCTGAACTCCTCAAGTTCCCTAGCCTTCAACTGTCTCGTTGACCATCCACGTAAAGCTGGAAAAGCCCTAGGCACAACCCTCTCACCATGAACCAACCTATCCACATAAAGAAACTAATAACAAGACACATATTAGCATTGTTACCACATGGAAAATGTCTAACTGCTTATGAAACTGATTATGAAATCCTTACCAGTAAGAATACATAGGGTCCAATAAATGGCTGTTTTGTATCCTTAATCCACGTTTCATGCCTATCAACCAAACAATCAATCACGAATTTGCACCAATTCAGATTCTTAATCCCATCCACGTCCTCGAAGTGGTGGAACACACGCTGATTGGCATAACCATTCGCCATGGGTGAAGCCAATGTGCTAATCGCCAACACAGCAAAATTCCTCTTGAACTCCACGTCGCCCTCGAGATTCTCCTGTACCTTGGTAGAAACCATATGCAAAGTAACATCGTGGATTGTCTTCTCAAACTTCGAGCGCCACATCTTTAAAGTATCACTAATTTCGTCCTTCTTCCGTTTAGTGATCACAACGCCTCCATGCGGCAACCCCAACACAGCATTAACATCAGCCTCCGTAACAGGAATGGTAGAACCATTCTCAACCCGCAAAACCTTGGCTTCAGGATCAAAGTTCGTGAGCAACCACCTGGCTAACGACTTAGGGATGGACATCAAGTCCAGGTTCAGAAGCTCCCCCAATCCTATATCAACTACGGCTTTCTTCTGGCAAGCGTTGAAACGCTTCATAGGCTTAACGAGATTCCTGATGGAAGCTCTAGTCTTCAATTGCCGGAACATTTTAACATCAACCTCGTCAGCCTGACTATCCGGCGCAGGGTCGATGGGGGCTTGGGCCGCTTCGTTATCTTCATGTGGTGCCAAAGACGGCGCGGGGTTGTGTCCTTCGACAGGGGGATCATGCTGTAAAGGTGCAACCGGATCGGCTACACCAACGGGGGGGGGGGGGGGGGGGACACCGTGACCTGCATAAATCAAAAAACAACACCGTTTACCCAACCTTAAATAAACAATATAAAGGCACTAAAAATTATACATCCCAGGCACACACCATTATACCTATCCAAATTAAAACAAATACAACTCTTAAGGTGCACTGCGCATATGGTATACCCTATAAAAGCACAAACCACATGCACCCCTCGAAAGCATAATAATGCACATACCATAACCGTATATATGCACAGACTTAATACAACAAAAAGAACACTAAAATCACATAATACAGACTAGACATGGACATGCACATATAATATATCTGGTGCATATAATATATATTCCCAAAAATGCACAATCCTTAAAACGAACGACCAATGACCCTAATTGATAAATTAATTAAGGCTAACTAGAAATGCACTCGCATATTCACTACTACGCACATACACATTGTGTCACATCCCATATCTATCTTTCTTTTAAAAATAAGGGGTATGACACACTGCATTAAACTGCTAAACAGAGCACTGAAGAATTAATATGCACCAAAATTAAAATTTACACAATCATGTTTGAACATATATAACGCACTACACGATCCTCTATATGCACATACTAATCAGAACGCACATACTAATACCTACAACCATTATACCTATCCAACTTAAGACAACCATTATACCTAATAATCCAGGAAGAGTTTAATGAAAAGAAGCAAAAGAAGTTAACATGTTTAAAATGATAAAAGCCAGATTAAGTATAGATATTATATGCACATGCTAACCAGAACGCACGTACTATATACCTAAAATGCATTTAATGAAAAGAAGCAAAAGAACTTAACAGATTTAAAATGATAAAAGCCAGAATTATATGTGCTTTTCCACCATCAACAACATATGGGATTGCAGAAAACACCATTCACTAAATTTTACTAGCAATCCCCAACCCTAACACGCAACTACCCAGTACCCTCTCCCATACCCCGCCTCCCAATAACAGGATTTCGCTGGAAAATCACCATCATCAAACACATGCAACACACCCCTAACATCCCAATGAGAATTGCTTGGCTACAGAACCACAAAACCCCCAAAAACCCCCCAAAACCCCCCTTTGTTAGACTAACATATGATTATCCGAAAAAAAAAAACTAAATAATAACACAAACCCTAAAATGTAACTAGTATGTTCCCCCTAACAGCACGCATCCCCAGTTCCCCACCCCCTTCCCGCCACCCAGAGTCGGCGGTCGAGACAGCAAACTACCACAGAAAGCAAACACAATATCCCCCGAACCGGAGGCACACACCAAAAACAACCGACCCGGGAAAAAAAAGTAGCAAAAATAGGGGGATTGAGATTACCTTCAATGGGAACACCGTTTGACATCCGATGCCTCTTCGATCGGCGGACAGTAGACCCATCCATGTTGAACGCCTGAGTTGTGATGGAGAGGGAGAGTGAGAGTTCCGATGGAGAGGGAGACCGAGGGTTGTGATGGAGATGGAGAAAGTGATGGAGAGGGAGAGTGAGAGTTCTGATGGAGATGGAGAGTGATGATGGAGTCTCACGCGGAAGACTAAGTGGCGTGAGAAGGGTCAGAAGATACGCTTTTTACCGAGGCAAAAATTGAATACCCGTTATAATTACAGCAATAGCGGAAATTACTCAATAGTCCCTAATGTCCTCTTGATTAATTATGCACGTGGCAAAAAAGCCAAAATCATCTGGACCATTCATCTAAAATATTTAAGGGTCATAAAAGGTGCTCACGAGCTCATCTGCCAAGGGGGTGTGCACCGGATCCAAAATCTATATATATATATATATATATATATATATATATATATATATATATATATATATATATATATATATATATATATATATATATATATATATATATATATATATATATATATATGCCCTTTAGATTTTCTTTGAGATTACTTTTTAACGTGAAACTTGAATTTCCTAACGTTGCTTTAATTTGCGCTTGACCACCAATTTACTCAAACAACGTTTTGGTTGGAGACACTGCACGTTCAAATTGTGTTTTGCATTGAGATTACTAAAATCGTGACATGTAGTGGTGTTTTTGAAGCCTTGTTTTGTAGTTGTGGGCCACAGTCAACCCGTGTTTTGCCGGGAGATCTATTCAAATCGTGTTTTGTATTGAGATTCTTAAAATCATTCTTTGTAGTGATGGACCCCACACAAATGGCGTTTTGCCATGGGACTCACAAACCGTATTTTATACTGGGATTCTTAAAATTGACCGTTATAGTGGGGTTATGGTCCATAGGATGTGTGCGTTGAGTTGTAGGTGTTGGTCCTCATCGTTCGGGCCTAGAAGGAACATCTGGAAGGAGCTCGGAAGCAAAATCCAATGGAGAGGTCACTGGTGATAGAAGAAGCATACATCGGGTTCGAGTGCATAGGTTCGGTTTGCTTCGGGTTTGGGCCATACCAATGGTTGTTTAATCTCTTGAAGTAGATAAGGAACCATATAGACACCAAAAAAAAAAAAAAAAAAAAAAAAGATAATAAGGATACCTTAAAACCAAAAGTCTAGTATTTCATTGTTGTCGGAGTACCACTTTAAGACCAAAAGTTCTATAATCTAGAAATCCCGATATTAGCGATGAAATATCTATAAACATTTATTGTTCCTCTTACATTGAAATATTGGAATAGTGTCTAACACATCCTCTAGTATCTTCGAGTTACAAAAGATTTTGGCATTTATGCGAGAAACCAAAATATGGTTTTGACGGGTTACTTGGGCACTTACTATTTTATTTGTTCCCCATGATACCAAGTCCCAAACTTGTTATGTTATGCTATGTTTTACCCTCAATATCCTATATAAAGAAAACAAAGTTGCACAGGGGATAAATGTGTATGTTTAAAAATATTTGACAAAGAATATATGACATCAAAATTAAACCCATGTGAGCTCTAGAAGCACTACAAGAAAAATGCACATAGATAACGGTTTTTAACCGTTGTCTTAGGGGTAAAATTTCTGATGTTGGAACCAGTGTTGTTGTAAGTCCCGCGCATAGGCAATGGTTAAAAACTGTTGTCTATTGAGTGTTGTTGAAATCGGTGTTGTTAAATTAAAAGTCACGCACATAGACTACGATTTTTAACCGTTGCCTTTTCTAGAAAATAATGGTTAAAAATCATTGTCTATTGAGTGTTGTTAAAACGGATGTTGTTGAAAGTCACACACATAGACAACAGTTTTTAACCGTTGTCTTTTCTATATAAGACAACAATTTTTAACCGTTGTCTATTGTGTGTTGTTAAAAAATGCGCCGTTGAAAGTCAAGCCGATAGACAGCGGTATTTAACCGTTGTCTTATGTATCAAAGACAACAGTTAAAAAAACATATTGTTCTTACATTTGTAGACAACGATTTTAAACGGTTGTTTTTAACATGTTTTGATTTTAAGCATAATAATATAATTTAATAAAAACAATTTATCCAAACACCATCACCAAGTCTAGTTACACAATGTTCAAAAGACACAATGTTCAAAATACACAACTAACCACCAAGTCTAAATACTTCAATGACAATTCCAATCACCAAGTCTAAATATTCACAAAGTTCTAATTAAAAGCATACCTACACTATATAACTTGTAGAGACTTGTAATACTTGCAGCCAAGAAGTATCAAAGCTCAAGATCTTTGTTGGAAATTTATATAGTAATGGAGATTAATGTTTCAGATGAACTACCATGAAAGCTTAAATAATATTTGGAGTTGTGGAGTTGTAAATATTATTTTAGTTTGGTAGAAAGTTAATTAAAATACTGGGAGAAATTTGTATAGCTATATGCTTGTGATATATAGCTATATGCTTGTGATATATAGCTATATGCTTGAGAGTTATAGCTAATATGCTTGAGAGTATTAATATGCTTGTGAGTATATAGCTATATGCTTGTGATATATAGCTAATATGCTTGAGAGTTATAACTAATATGCTTGAGAGTATTAATGCATGTT